CTAATTTCCAATTTCATTTAGATGTGTTCAAATTATCTACCTTTGACTAAAGAACTAAAAACTTACTCTGAAAGGCTTTTAAATATTTTCTTAAAGGAAGGGAAGCCCAAAGGAGAGACAGCTCAGGAGTGATCTTTGGGCTCTCCAGCCTTTGCTACTAGTTGCTTGTAATGTTATTCTATCAATTCAACCTTTGGCGGTGGAATATTGAATCTGAGACATTAAGTATCATGTCCAAAAGCAAACAATAGTCAGGATTAAAATCAGTGTTTCTTAATTCAATAAATCTGTTCAGTGCACAAAGATCCCACAAAATGACTATTTCAACACTCAAAGATATTAAATGCATGATTAGATTTAACCTCTCGATAAAACCACTATACTTCTCCATCATAATTTTGCTTAATATACACAAGTAGCCTTATTCTTCAATATTATTACAGTTCTCAACTTCTCAATTCTCTGTGAATAATCATTTCGTGGTTTAGAGGAAAATCAGACTGGTCATTCATTGAGAGATGTGTGGTTTTTGAAAAGTTAGATCTAACTCCTTTGAGTTCATTTTCTAGCTAGTCAAACAGGGGTAATAGTCACTTCGTAGGATAGTTGTGAGAATCAAAAAATGATATAGTCAAAATCCCAAACAGCTATTTTTCACAGAAGCATTTGATAAATACCAGTTCTGTAACTGTCTCTCTGTGCAGACACAGATACTTTATCCTAATCATTCTCTCTTAATCACCCCATTAACAATTAAATTACTTTCTGGATATCAGTCCTTTTAATTGTAAGTTTTACATAACAGTCAAATATAAGCCACACATCTAGGCATTTCCTCTTTGCTGTTTCATTTGTAAATACTCCATGAGCATGGAAGTGAGTACAATGCCAATTTGCATGATTGCAGGCCCCTTAGTTCTTACTATAATGAGATGCTTACTTAATGAGATGCTCGACTAGCTGTGCTTTTCTTTTTTTATTTTCCCAAGCTGCCTTCCACATAGGCTGAGAAAGAAGACCCAAAATCAGGAGCTCAGTTTTCACTGTTTACTGGTTTACTTTGTTAACAACCAATCAGCTGAAGCACGCTGTAAAAATCTGAAGGACTGGCAGTTGGAATTTACAATTAACTGCCTCCTTCAGAACACCAAAGTTCATTTTCATTAAAAATCTAAAAGGTGAAGTGTCTGCATCTCTACCATCTACTTGTGTTACCATCTGTAACACAACATACGTCTAGGAAGTTTCATGACAACTACGGCAATGAGGTTGAAGGGAAGATAAACTGTCAGAGTGTCACAAATGTGTCTCGAAGCAAGAGCAGGAATTAAAACAAAGGACAATTTATTGACAGGGTAAACAAGATAATACACAAAGCAGAAAGACAGAAGTGTTTGTGTATACCTGGGAATTAGTAAACTCCAGTGACTGCCGATGTGTTCTCTAGATCCATCCTGTAAGGGCCTTTTTCTGGTGACTGCCTTCTCAGGATGCCTTTAACTAGAAGGCCAAGTCTGAGCCTTCCTCACTTACTCAGTACTCTGACTGAATGGCCACAGAGGCTAAAACAGAATTTAAAAAATAATGATAGTACAACCTGCTGTACAGTAAGCCCTTTCCATGGCTATTTAGAACATATTTTATACTCCTGTCATAAAAGATAGCTAGTACCTGCATTTAATCTACTCCTGGAAGAACCTGTGTAAGAAATTCTTTCTCTCAACTTTTCTGGTGACTTTGACCTAAAGGAAGTGACTCCTCAATTTGAAATAAAATGCAAACCTCTATGTGTCACCAGCACCTGGTTAAAGCTGTTTTCCTTGTCCTGAACCATGTCTGCTGTGTATTTATTTGCTTGTGTGACCAGTGATGAGACCCTGGTTTCCGGCAACGAATTAAATATCCCTCCTAATAAAGGCTCTTTATGTTGCTGGTTGCCAAAGCTCTTGTAGGGAAGCAAGCTTTGGTTTTCAGGCTGTGTAGCCACACTGTATATAAGGTGTTTCTCCACCCTGCCTGACACAGGAAGGTCTGAGCAGCACTGAAGGTCCACACTGATGACCTAAAGAGAACTGTGAAGCAGGTGACACTCGCCTTCTTCCCCTGCCAACCCCTTTTGTTGCTTCCCCTTCCTCACTTGCCCCCATGTGGGGCTTCCTTTCCTGTTCGAGTGGTGCTCTCCTTCCCTAAGATGAGTGAGGACTTTGAGTCACAGTCACATACTAGACACACATTTGAGAGCACATTTGGGTAACAGTGTGCTGAAAGATGTTCTTCCCTCTGAAAGGCAAGTTAGGCACTCAGCTGCTAGTGAGAGGTTTAGGGACAGGGGGAGCCTGGATTGAAAGGACAACTTCGCTTGCTCTCTCATTTTTTTCAGACTATCAAAGTGCTCATTCTGCAAAACTTGAAAAATATAAACAGGTATTTCAAAGTTAAAAACATACATATTTACTACATCATCCGTCACTTTTGTACAATGTATGATTTCCCCATGAAATCCCCACCACCAATTCACCACTACCATAGTCCCTTGTGTTCTTCCCACTCCTGTCCTGATCCTTTCCCCTCCTCCTCCCTTCAGAATGTCTCTGATCTATAGTTGCCTGATGATTTTGATTTTAACTTTATTATAGTTACTTTTTTTCCTGATTCCTTATTTTTTGTCTCTACATTCCTCGTAGAAGTAAGACCATTCAAAATTTTTCCTTTTCTTTCTTGCTTACTTCAGTGAGCATAATCCCTTCCAGCAAAGGCCACGAGCTTATCCTTTTTGGTTAGCGAGTAATACTCTGTTCTGTAAATATGCCACACCTTCTTGAACCAGTCATCTATTTTGGGGCATTTGGGTTGCTTTTGTAGCTTAGCTATTGTAAATTGTGCTGCAAAAAACATTGGGGTGCTGGTGCCCTTTTGCATTAATGTTTTTGTGACCTTTAGGTAGATTCCTAGGAGTGGAATTACAGGATCTTATGGAAGCTCCATTTTTAGTATAAACAGGTATTTTTAAATTAAGGAGTCATTTACCCATAAACCAATTAGATTTAACTACTATTGAGTCTGTCCCTACACATTTATTCTCCGTATTACATGAGGCCCTTTATATAGTCTCATGACCTTCTTTTAGCCATTGTCATTCTCATGCAATTTGAATGTTGTTTTCAAAAGTTTTGATAGCAACAAATCTAAAATAACTATACACAATATATTTAAGCATAAGACATTTAGCTGTTTTTAGTACTCTCCTATTATGAATGATGTGGTAGCAAGTAATCCTGGACAAAAATCTTCCTCTGCATTTTAAAATATCTCCTCAAGATATGCGTGAATGTTTGATTCTTAATGCATGCTGGCATTAAGAAATGCCTGGAAAATGCAGCTTTGAGAATTAGATATAACCTATAATAATTTGATAGGCAAAATATTGTTTTACTCTTTTGAGTATTGGTATACTTCAACACTTTTTAGTCATTTTTTTCTTCTATAAATTATCTGGATATATTCTTGGCTATTTTCTAGTATAATCTTAGTGTTTTGCTTATAAAATGATATAATTACTTGCAATATTTACTATGACTATTGAACCTACCTTTTCATTTGTCTTAATTTTGTTTATGTGGGCCATGATAAACAGTAATCCAAGTATGACACAATCAAATTTATTAATGTTTTCCCTTTTGGTAATTTCTACAGACTTATAGTTTCAAAATCTTCCCCTACCCAGAGACATACTTTACTTATACTTTTTATGTGAAAGAATTTAAAAATTCAAAAATAACAAGGATAAAAAATGTATGATATTTCCAAAATTAGGAAAAGTAGGGAGAATTACATAATTAACTCCTTTGCATTCATCATCTAGCTTTAGCTTTATTAATATACTTTCATCTTCCTTCTCCAGGGTCCACTTAAAAATATCCTAAACATCTAGCTATTTTTCAGTAAATATTTCTAAGGGAAAGGAAGCCACAATACCATCTCACACCTAAAAATAATGAGGATCCTGGATAGTTGTTTACTTTTCCCCAGTTATTTTATTCTTAAATTTTATAGTTTGTATGAATCATGATCCAATAAGGTTAGTTAACTCCTTTCCTTCGCAAGTCATGGACCTCTGTCCTTGCAATTTATCATTTGAAGATGTATTTATTTCTAATGTGCTCCTCACTGTCTGGATCTTACCCATTGTGCCATGGCCGTGCCTTTTTACACTTTAAGTCTATCTCATTTTTCCTGTAATACCATGGAGTAGATTTAGAGGCTGGATGGATGCTGGTTTAAATTTTTTGGCAGGAACACATTGTAGGTGGTCTTGGTTACTTCCAACAGGAGGCACCTAAAACCTGACTCTGTTTTCCTGATTTAGCAGCCACCACTAACTTCCTGGATCTGTTAAATTCATTAAAGTGTGCAAAATGAGAATACTTATCACTTCTTCTACATTTATTTGCTGGAATGCTTTTATAATTTCCCCTCTATCAACTAGTTGGTTATCCAGAGTATAATTCCTTCATTCTTTCCCTTTACTTAGCAGCATCCTCAGAGAAGCAACTCATTAGGCTTGTTCTTTGGTATCATTATGAACTCAGAGTCCAGTTTAAATACATGTGAGCATTTCTAGCCATTGAAGCTTTCATCCTTACTGATGATCAAATCGTCCAGTGTTGGCAGGTATGCTCTTCTTAAAGTTGGCTCCTAAGGTTATGACTCTAAGAATCTTTAATAAATTCCTTTTTCTTCCTTCCCTCTAGAACAAGCTGTTCCAGGCTCACTTCACGCATTTCCTGTCCCAGATGGAAAATCTGTCCATTCTCTGTAGAATTCTGTTCTTTTTATTGAAAAATGGTACTTAGATTATGATCTGAGGTCTAGGCTAGTATTTTTAAAGTAAACATATAAAAACCTATGGAAAATAAATCGTTGCTACTTAAAGCTGAGTTTCTCCAAGGCTTCTTGCTGGGCTGTTTTTCCTAGAATCGGAGCAAACCTTTGAAGCTCACCTCCATATTCCGTAGCTTCCTTTCACTCACATAAAGAAAATTAAATTTTTAAAAGCACTACAGCAACCAGGAGACTGAGATTACTAATGATTTTGAGACAGGAAGGGTCCCAGAACAAGGGTTGGCCAGGACTCAAGAACACAACTTTGCTGTTCCCATGGGCTGGTAAACAAGACTTTAAATAAATTCGAGGACTCCAGGCCCAGACACCTGCTGCCATAAATTTCCTTGGCTCATTGTTTTTATCACTAATTTTTCCCCAACTTGGGCAGAGCTGAGTTGTCTCTACAGCTTTTTAAGTTGGCTGCAATGGGGAAAAGAGGTCAGAGAGGTTCAAACCGGAGCTGCAGACACACAGCTTCCACCGGGTATTCACCTTGAGGGTCAGAGCCCTCACAGCTGATGGAGGGTGCACAATTAGCAATAAAAGATCCACGTGTGGGCAGACAAATGGACTTTGGAACTCTCCTGGCTTTCTAACAGTAAAGCTTAATTCCTCAGCCCTAACAATTTGGAGAGGCTCTCATGTCCAGAGCTCTCCCCTCAGCTTTTTCCTTGTTCTTCCGCTGGTCAGTAAGTGCTGACTCCTTGCCTGCCCTCATGGTTGTCTGTGGACTCCACTTTGTAATTTCGACCAGGGTTTCCAAGAGCCGGTTCCAAGGAGCAAGCTTCCACATCTCCGGTCCCCTACCCCCACCCATCCCATCCCTCCAAATGCCAGCAGGTGGAGCAACGGACAGCAGCCGGTTGGCTCCTGGGATCGGTCCTTGCCGTTGTGAGTGAGCCTGTTCCCTTGTCTGATGACGTTTCAGTTTACATATAGGTGGAAAATAAACATAAAACTAGAAGGACTAACAGGAGTCCACACCAGAGTAGCCGGGTAGTGTGGGCAGGGACAGGATGGCGAGCATAGCAGTGTGGAGTACAGATGAAGTCCTCCGGAATTGCATCCTGTTGAGAGGGGAACACTGAGAACAGGCTGGAGTAACATCCACTGACTTTTCACAGCCCAAAAAGCAGGTTTAGCTTTCTTTCCCGCCATTCCCCCCGCCCCCCCACATACCCCTGTCCATTCCTCTATTTTCCTATGGTCTTTTGTTCTGTTCACCTAATCTTCTTCCCACTTCTGTTTTCACATCTTTGTCTCCTGTTTAATTTTCTAAAAGTTTTCTCAGTTCTGTACTGGGAAGGCCAGTACAGATGTGCAAGTGTGCAGACCCGCACGGACTTCACTGGGCTGCAGGTGGCGCCGGGGCCTGCCACGTGAGCCTCTCCTGCCTCTGAATCAATAGGCTGAGACCTGCTTTATATTACTTCACTTTTTTTACCATACTTTTGTTGTCCAGTAAGTTTTTTATTCTTAGAATGGCTCTTTTTATAGATTCTATGCTGATTTTATTCAGGTAACACTCTCTCTTTTCTGAGGCTCAAGTGATAGGGTCTTATTGATTAATCGCCTTGCATAGTTTGATTCCTCCAAGTGGTTTTTTCCCTTTAACTCTTCCTGGTTTCAGTCTTTTAGTTTTGAGATTTCCCCAACAATCTCAAAACTATAAGCTTCTCAGTATCTGTTTAGTTTATAGAAACTCACATTTAAGAGCAGGTACTGAGAAGCTTATTGAATCTCTGAATTCATGGGAATGGTCTGTCAGTGGTGGTGGGCAGCTTATAGTAGCTTATTCTGCAGAAGTTGCTTCATTGAAGAAACAATCTCACTGGTTTTAAGTCTTTATTTTTGGCTTCTCAAATTTCCCAGAGTCCTCTCGTCTCCTTCCTGAGATTAGAGCACAGCAGCCTGGCTGCTGGTCGTCCAGGTGTCAGGCTTAGTGTTAAGCGCTCATGCTGTCCCCATTTTCAGTAGAGTGCCACTAGATTCTCAAATGGGCTTGATTCCTGCTTGATTCCTGTCTCACCCTCTCCTTCCCATGCCTCAGCATGGGAATTCCGTGGGTATTCAAACAATCTTACGTTTAGCCCTGCTTACGAGTACCACCTGCACCTCAAGAGCTACTCAGTGCTGCCAAATCCTGGGTCCTTTGGGGGTTCTGCGGTACAAAGTCCATTGCTTATCTGCCCCCAAGGTCAGTTTAGGATTCAGCTTTCCGAGGATGCTGATTCAGTTACTTCTTATCCATATGTTCTCAAGCCTTCTAAATTCTGTCCCTGTTGTTAATTCTCCAGTTCTGTCTTTCCTTATGGGTTCATGCTGTAAAGTGTTTAGTTATTCCTTTAGTACTTAGTTCGTGACAGTAAATATGTGTGTTCAAAACCAAAAGACAGAAATCCTAACTGTGTCAAGAATTTTAAACAATTAATGGAGGATAGCAGAAGAGAAATCCGTTTGATTTTGATGCTGGGAACATTCCCTTATTTTTAAATTTAGATATAAACTGACATATAACCTATGATTCACTATGTTGTGAAATGATCATTACAATAAATCCAATTACCTCCATCTGGGAACAACATTCTCTTTCAGATGGCCCAGAGGTCATGACACTGGACCCACAGAAGAAATATAATGCTGACCTATTTGATCTGGAAATGAAGTCTTTCAGTTACTGTAGTCAGTGTGACCTAAAGGGACCCACCAGAGTGGGAGTGGGGCTGAGACTTGCTTCTAACCAGCAGGATCTGGCAAAGATGAGGTGATGCTACTCCTTTGACTAGATTACATTATACGACAGAGGAAATGGGATTTCATCCCTGTGATCATGCTGTATCAAATCAAGACTGCACAAGGGTCCTCTTGCTGACGAAAGAAATACACAGCCCTGCTGGCACTGCCTATGGGAGAGCACAGCGGCTGCGCAGGCAGCCCCGAGGAACTGAGGGTGGCCTCCGCCTAGCAAAAAGTAAGGCCCTCAGTTAGACAGAAAATAAATTCTGCCAAATATCCAAACTTAGAAGTACATTTTTCTCCGACTGAATCTCCAGGTGAAAAATCAGCCCAGTCGACACCTTGCATGAAACCCTGAGTGCAGGCTAACGGAAGCCATGGATAGGAACTGTTGTTTCAGGTCACGCGGGCTGTGCTGATTAGTTACGCGGCTTGGGGAATGAGAACAGATCACAATGACTTTATTGCTGCAAGTGGAGCAGCTAGTCTGTCACTTTAGCCACTGAATCAACAGGTGAAGAAGTTACTTTATGGACTGGGGTGACTGATGGTGATTACCAAGGGGCGATTGGGGTGTTGCTACCCCATGGGGATGAGTCAGTGTAGGTATGGCTGACAGGAGAATCCCCCAGTGCACCTTCGAATACTCCAGCAACCCAACTAAGGCAGGACTGCTAGAGTCCAGGTGCTTCAAGAATGAAGTCAGTCTCCCCAGCAGGCCAAAAAACTATCATCAGCTGTGAGGTGCTTAGTGAGGGCAAGGAGACAGGACATGGTAAGTAGAAGGTACTTATAAAAATGACCATATGGCCAGTTGTAGATTTGAGAACTGTAATAGTTTGAGTAATTCTTCCTTCTTTTGCGATGAGTGTGCTTGTATATATACTAATGAAATATTTTTTTTGATTTTCTCCTCTGTCATCTCGCCTGTGTTAATCATAGTTAAAATTAGTTTTTTAATAATAGTTTATTTTTACATCATTTTGTGCCTTTTTCCATCTTAGTTGTAATCCCTGTGGACTTCCCATCACCAATTCACCCATGTGCCATCACCACAGTCCCACATTTTTGATCCCTTCCCCCACTCCACCCCCATAAAATGTCTCTGGCATGTAGTTGTTATTGTTCCTCCTCCCCCCCGTCCTTTATGCTCCTGCTAAATCATAACTAAGTTTTAAGCTAGAGGATTCTGAAGAAGAATCATCTCTCCAAAGGACTTTGGATCCTCTGCTGTGGCAACAGTTAACTGTTTATTTGTACCTGGGGTACCTGTAGCATGTTAAACAGAGTATTCATTGTCTTCATCTGGACATTAAGTGTGTCTTAGCAGATGTCTGTGAGTGCCAAGCTGACAAGGGTTAGATTATAACTTTGAGATGTGTCAACTTGGCCACATTCCCCAGAATTCCCTGTCAGCATGTTTCTCATTAGACTGGGCTAGAGGCATACGCCTTCCAGAGCTGGGGGACAAAAAGGAGGCAGCAGCCATTCTGTAGAATCTGCATGGCTGTTCCCAGCTCTTCAACACTAATCTAGATGTTGCTGTGAAGGAATTTTGCAGATACAGTACAAGGTCCTAATCAAGGAACACTAAATTAATAGGAATTTACCGTGGGTGGATCTAACCTAGGGGCAGGAGTCAAAAGGGAAGATGACAGCAGCCTGGGAGCCATGGGTAAGAGCTGGAGTTTGAAGCTTCTGAGCTAAAGGCCTGGGCTCCCCCCACCCCATTGATACAAACGCCAGGAGGGCTCGGTCAGCCCCGTAATTTCAGAAGATGCTTGAGTATAATAAACAATGCTGTGTGTGTGTAGGTTTGTATGTTGAGAGAGAGACAGATGAGAGAGAACCCACTGATCTGTTTTTCTGTTTGGACGGGGATGTGGTCATAAGAACATAAATGCTGTTACTGGTTTCCAACATTTAAAGTGAACGTACAAAGAATTGGATGAACACCAAACAGAGGAAAAGGCATATCTTATAGAATTATGGGGGTAATGATTAGAACACAGAAACCTAAAGGAAAACAGAAAGGATCCCTGTGGAGAGAGCATTTTAAGGCAGGAACTGATTGGAGCCTAAAACTTGCTTCTTCACCTTTAACTCTTCTGTACTACTTTAATCAGTACCAACAGTTTATAATACTGGAGGAAAAAAGATTGCTTTAAAAAGACATATATTTTCCTCCCCCCAGAGACAGTATGAGGAGTATAGAGAATGATTCTACAGTCAGATTTCTACTCCTGTGGTGTTTGTTAAGTGTGTTACCTTGAAAATCCACTTAACCTTCTCATCTGAGAAAAGTAATTTACTACACACCCTGCTCCGATCTATGCTTTAGAATGTAACAACACATCTGAGAGTCTCTTCCTTATAGCTACCCTGT